GATCAGGGTTAGGGGTGTTTCTGCAAAAGGCCAGATAGTAAATACATCTAGCTCTGCAGGCCAGGCTCTGCCACGTGTTCTTCTCTGGATTTGTTTGTTTCTCTTGCTCATAATCCTTTAAAAATATAAAGACCAATCTTAGTTCTCAGGCAGTACAAAAGCAGGCGATGAGCCATATTTGGCCTTTGGACTATAGTTTACTGACCTCTCTTCTAAATGGTGGTTAGGCCCCAGCTTAGCTCCCACTAATCCATAAGTTGCTGAGATACCAAATGAGATAATATATATATATTTAAATTTCTTTGTAAACTGTAACGTCTATGGTAATGTAAAGTATTATATAGTTTTTCAGTGTTTAGCATGTGGGTATTTTAAAAAATAAAAATTAACATGGAATTTAAAAAGTGTTTTATGTATCTGGAATTGGATGAAGAAATAGATATATTAGTGAAGGAACATGAGTAGAATTCTCAAGTAACCTACAAGGTAGCAGAGGTTGATAATGTTATAGGACATCCAATCCTACCCTTTCTGTAGGCACAGCATTCACACATCAACTCAAATGTGATTGGTTCCCGTGGCATGAGTTCATATGCCAAGTGGCCCCCTCCATCAAAAAGTAGAGAGTGTATCACTGAGTTTTTGCACCGTGGGCATTGAGAAGGCTTTTCTCTTGTCTGCTGTTCACAGCCTTGTGCTCTGGCCTTGAGTGTTTTGTGAATCATGTTTGGTGGAACCTACAAAGGCATAGAAGGGGCAAAGAATATAAGAATAAGGTGAGCCAGGTACAGTGGCTCAGGCCTATAATCCCAGCACTTTGAGAGGCCGAGGCCAGAGGGTCACTTGAGCTGCAGTGAGCTGTTATGACGATGACACCACTGCAGTCTAGCCTGAGCAATAGAGCGAGACCCTGTCCACCCCCACTCCCCCAAAAAAGAAAGATGATGGAGAGTCATTCTATGACTTACCTAGATAAGGAAATTTATTTTTAACAACAAAAACGTCCTCATTATATTTAATTTGGCTTTAAAACTTGTGACTGGTCTCTTCTGTCATGGAAATAGAGCCTGCTTTAATAACCTCACATCATGATTAGAATTTTATTCTGTTATAACAGAAGGGCAGATTTCCCTATTATACAATCCCTGGGCTAGAATCAGGAGAGAAGGTGGAAGAGAAAGGGTGCTAAATAGTATATCCTGTGTGAGGAAGGCACTGAGCCGGTGGCTGCGCACATGGGCAGTGAAGGCAGTTCATGGCGCTGTACGTGAGGAACCCCAGAAACAAAGCCCAGGGGAGAGGAAAAAGTTGCCTTGGCATGTGGCATGTCAGTTGAATCCTTTAGTTGGGAGCACTTTGTGATAGTTCCCTTAGCAAGACATCATATAACCTGGTGAAAAGAATCCTTTAAAAATATACATATTTCTATAATTAAAAAAGAAGTCATCCATACATGGGAATTGAGGGACCCCTAGATCCCCCTGAAGTTTGCTCATCCAGCCAGGTAAGGCAGAACAGAGTGGTAGAGAAAGGGTATTGATGAAGACAGGCACAATAAAAAACATTACCTAAGTTTATAGACCATTAAAGAGTTTATAAAATACTTTCTCAAGCATTATCCTTGTTAACAACTTGGTATGGTCACAGAGTTGGAGATCGGGTGCAGCAACCTGCCCAAGGTAACGCAGCTAGCACAGGGCAGGGCAGAAAACAGGGCTCTTCACATTTCCCATCCTGCTTCCCAGGGGGCTGCATGCAGATCTGGTGGGAATGGGTGTTTCTGCCCTTATTCCTCCCCACGTGCCTCATTTAGTGGTTGGAGTTCCACGAACTTCACTCTGCTAATGTGTCCTGTGTTTTTTAGTATATGGAACCGCTGACCCTCAAATAAACCAGTGTGATTGGCTAAACAACTGCATCTGTAGAAGAAGGCAGTGGATCCAGGCTGAGAAGGGAGCAGACTTAGGCCAGGCTGGTGGGCTGAAATCCTAGATGCGGGACTCACGAGCTGTGTGAGGTTGAGCACGTTACTTAACCTCTGACCAACGTACAAAAAGCACATAGCCCAATGCCAAGGACGTGATAAAAGTTCGGTAATTGAGGCAGACTTTCTGTATTATTGAGTTCTCCTCTGCCTTCTTTAAGACTGTATCATAAAAAGAAAACTACCAATAAGCGGTTGAATCATGTCAACTTCATTTTCCACTCTCCAAGAATAAAAGTCACAAACACATAAACACAAGGAATGCCTTGTCCATCCACGCCCAAGGATGTAGCTAATGAGTCTACCTGGTTATGCAGAACTCCACATGCTGGAATAATTGATTCCATCCCATAAGCCAAGCTTATACTTAAGAAAAATTTAATAAATGCTACTCATCCTTCTAATCTCTTGCCAAGCATCAGCATTTTCTTGTAGACGTTACTGTTTTTCAAAGCTGGGGCAGGTGGACTAAAAGCCAAAATTACCCAAACAGCTTGAACTCCTGGAGTGTTTCTCCAAACAAGTAGGGGAAGTTGGTGGGTGGCGATGGGGAAGGGGGATGGAGATCGGGATGGGGATGGTGCCTATGGGCTCCCCCTATAGGCACCAAAAAGCAAAGGCTAAAAATTAAACTGGGTATCATTTACGCCTAGTAGAGAATTATTTCCCTTCCTTCTTCTTTTGGAAAAGTTTCTAAAGCAGTCCTGAAACCACAACTTTAGTTTGTGATGTAATCCCTTTTCCAAAAAATCTGGCCAAAGAGTCTATTTAAGGAACCAAGAATCAATCAACCTCTTTCTTTTGATGTACTCCCCGCGCCACCAAGTAAAAAGGACCTCCCAATGTGATCCTGATGTAAATGGAACACAAAACTACTTCCCAGCTGCAACACTATTTTTGATAGTCATAATTATAGCATTTTGGGGTTATTTTATGGTAGTTTACTTCCATCTCATTTTCAGGATTAGTGTGTATTTGCATATATGTGTATGCATGTGTGTGTGTGAATATACACATAACCACAGAGGTATACCAAGAGAACCCTGATTCAGGACTTAAAATCAATAACAATTTTTAAACTACTTGATGGAAGGTTTGAGAGAACTTTTATCTTTGATTTCTTTTGTTCTACAAATCAAGTATATTTCATTCTCTGTGTTCGTGGAATAAGCTTAGATGGAAGAATGCAAACAGTAAAGGATGAGAATAAGTTCTCTTAATAAAAAAAAATTTCCAAGATGAAAAGGAATAGACAGCTTGTTTCAAATTTGTGCTTCAAACTATTTCTCTCTGAAAGGTGGAGGTTCGTGAACTAGAGATGCAAATTTCCTAACAGAGGACACTTGATGTACACACCCACAGAGACAAAACACTCACATGGGGAACCAAGAAAGACTGGGGTGGGCAGAGGCTTGAGATCACACTGTATGAGAAACAGCTGAAGAAAATGGGGGTGCTCAGGCCAGAGAAGACCAAGGGGTAGGGTGGTCCAACAGGCTAACTTGGGAGGGTGGCCAGCCTCACTCTGAGTGGCCCCACTAGTGGGTGTAGTTATTGGAGAACAGAGTTGATCTCATGTGCAGGAAGAACAGTTTAATAATGAGCACTACCCATACAGAATGACTTGCACAGCTCAGTGTGAAGACCTAATCTCTAAGGGTGTTTTGGCAGGGCCTGGACGGCCAAACACTGGGAATATTGAGGAGATTCATGAACTGGAGATTCATGAACCCAGCTGGATTATATTTAAGATCCTTTTTAGGTCTAAAATCCTGATAATATATAATAAATCCCCCAACAACTTCACAGTCCTCTTGTTAAAGGCTGGTTTGTTATCATCTCCCAGAGTCACTGTTACATATTAAATACTGACATTTTGTGCTTCAAGCCCTGATTCAGCTTCAAAATAACTTTTAAGAGAAAAGAAATCAAAATCAAACTATAGGATAGATTGCACCAATGTCAACTTTCTACCTTTAACATTATAGTTATGTAAGATGTAACCACTGGAAGAAGTTGGGTGAAGGGTACATTGGACCTCTGTACTATTTCTGCAATTTCCTATGAATCTATAATTATTTTAAAATAAAAAGCTCAAAAAATTAAATTAAAGATGCTTTCCCCAAAGTTCTGAGTAATATCAAAGACAACAGCTACAAACCAGTTTGGTTCAGTACAGTATCACCAGCCACAAATGACTCTGCACAAGTATCCACAGGCAGTAAGGCTCATTTCAACACCATGATCAATCAGTTATTAATATTTGCAATTGTGAGTAGGAAAGCCAGTCATGTTGACAGTAGCCTATTTTGGTTACAATGATCATAAATCCTCAGTTACCTGAGATTATGTCATTAAAATCACCTATAGGTAATACATTCTTACAACTGTTTGTGTAGTACTCCACAGGAACTGCGTACAGACTTAATTACTGTATCAATCAAACTGTAATACAGTAATTTGCTTATATCTTACTTCTTCCACTACCCATGACTTGCAACCAGAACTACATCTTGTTCTTCTCATTCTAGCATCAAAACCTAACCCACAAGAGGTTCTCAATAGTCACAGACTAAATAAAATTTAAAAAAACAGTAATGAAGTTATTTTCTTGAATTTTGAGGGAGTGATTTTCTTTTCTAATACAAAGAAATCTCAGAGAGTCTCTATTAGAATCAGATTAACTATATATACATATGTATGTGTCACAAAATCTTTGAAACATAGGGTTTAATCTCTAAAGATACCTATAGCCACTTGTTTTTGATTTATTAGTTTCCCAAGATATAGTAACTCAGTTTGATTTAGAATATAAGAGAGGCAGGCTTTTCCAGATAGAAAACCAATGTGAATTGTTGAACAGATCACAGATCCCCTCAACTTGAAAGTCTCTGTTAGAATGATCTCTGCCTAATTTTATCAAGTGTGCCAAGAACAATCAGCTTCTTTCAGAAATCAAAGACAGTATCGCCTATGGATTTTTTAATATCGACAGATCAAAAAGCATACAGCAATCTGTATATATCTCTCAGTTAAGTTTATTGAAACACATGTTTTTCAAATAAATATTTTGAACAGCCCAAATCAATCAAAGCAGTGAGATGACAAAGTGCTGCTTATCTGCACAGCATTAGCTTGTACAGAACATCCAGAAGCCGCCAAAGGTCAACAAGGATGTCTAAAGACACGATGGAGGCTCCAAGGACTCCACAGGCTCAGTCATCTGAACAGCCTCAGAAGCCGGCTTGACCCTTAGAACCTCCGCAAAGCCATCACCAAACCAGCAAGTGACATGCGCTATGTCCACAGTAAAGTAGAAAAGGCGGTCCTGGCAGAGCTTCCGGCGGTACACAGACCGAGGATCGGCTGACAGCACGGCCTCAATGGCACGCTTTGCCTCCTCTGCTGATTGAAAATATTTAAATGATGCCTGGCCAACATCTGCAATGAAAAGAAGACAACTTAATGCAGGTTAAATTTCATTATAAAAAAACTTCAATATGGAATTTGGTTGGTTTCTTAAACATCACTTGAAATGAACAGGGTTTGGAAATCTATTTAGTCCTTACAGAGAATGTTGCCTTCAAATGGTATTTACTGTCATTAGATTTAACTTGCATACCCTCAAATTTTTATTTTACTGAACAAAAAAATCATGGCATTTTTCCTTAGTTTCCTAACTAGGTGAGGTAAGCTTTCATTTTCTGTTAACCAAAATGTTACTTTTCTATACTCAATGTAGACTTTAATTCCTTGTCATTTTCTTCTCAGAACACAGACAAGGAAATGCATGACAGTCCCAGTATTCTCAGAAAGCCACAAGAAAGAGAACTGAACCCACACATACCGAGAATGCTAACTATATGGGCAAGGGAGACTGCAACAGACGGCTGGCGTCACAGCCCCAGTTACAAGTAACACCACATCCCTAAGCAACAAGGACAGGAAAGAGTGCCAGGACAAAAGTGAAATAGATATACTGAGAAAGTTCAATGTCATCAGGAGGGACCCAGCCACTCTGTTCCACTGAAGTGCATATTTCAGGTAAACAGATGCTTACCCTGTCAAGTGGCAAAACTACTTACGTTTGTATCCTTTCTAAGGTATTTTAATTTTTAAAAACAAAGTGTGTACAACAATTTTAAAAAGTAAGTGTGATCTAGTTTTTAGTAACTACACCGTAATATTTATACATCCAAATGAAGACCAGCCCCTTCTAGGAAGGTATGTTTTTAAAAAGTCATCCCTGCTCAAAATATCTCTGGAGTGAGTGGATCTTTACCTTTCTTAAAGTGGATTTGATTTTTATAAACAGTCAAGAATCACTCTGGGCTATATCCAACAAGGCAGTTGGTAAACAGGGCCATGAAGCATAACTTTTGGTAAAAAATAATTGCTATGCTGATAAGATTCCTTTATTGCAAGGCTCAGAAAAAAGAGGAGTTCATCACAATCCTTGGTGACAGCGTTTCTGGTAGAGGCTTCCAGGCCCCTCGACTCCCTGCCTACTCATGCCCCCACCCTTAGCTCAAAGGCTATTTCCTCTGGAAGCCTCCCCACTGTTCCCCACCCACACTCAGTCTGAATTCTTCTCTTCCCGGTGTAGCCCACGCACTCTGCTCAGACCTCTGTTTCAGCACAGACTTCCTTGCATTTCAAGGCCTTTCACCTTTTATAGACTCAGAACTTCCCGAAGTGATTTCTCATTTCTGTACTGGCTCTGAATTCTGCCATTTGTTATCCATCAGCTCCTGTTATAGTTATATTGCATAATTTCTCCTTTTAACATTTTTTTAAAAATCAATAAGACATATTTGAAACACCACAGACACACTGCACTGTAGTTTGAAAACCAAAACTTTCCACAGTAGGTAGCATTCAACAGTAACCACAAGACAGGGGGTAAACATAAAGTATCTATTAGGCAGCACTGCTTTGTTCCACCACAAATCCTTCTATGACTGACCTTCCTCCTCCCATTAACGGTATACAGTGATTAAATGATCTGCATAAACAAAAAATTTTAAATAAAGAGATCAATTTTAAAACAAAAGCTCTACTTAAAAATAAAGCTTTGGGAAAAAACAAGCAGCACAAGCCTCGAGTGGCAGTGCTGCTCACATCCACAGGGCTGTCACATCCAGAGGGGAAGGTTACCAAGGTTGGCATGTCATGGTTAAAACCAGAGCCTGAGCCCTGGCAGGTGGCTGCCTCCATGCAGAAGGTGTGCCTTTGCTTTACTTGCAAAAGGCAACAGTGTGGGTTTGGCTATGGCCCTGACGGGAAGAAATGAGGAACTCTCCAGAGTGAAGTGTGGCATTTGCCACCAGCTCCAACTTTGAGATCTCTTTTCCCCACCAGGAGGACTTCCTTCAGGTTCCACTGAAAAGCCAAACACCCTCCTATCCTCTTCAGTCTCTCCCTTCTTTTAAAGCAGATGAAAATCTAATGTCTATAGTTGTTTAAAACTCTATTTTCTGTATATAAAATGGAAAGCTTCATTGTCTGAATAAGGAATTCCAGCCTGCCTTTGCATGCCACTGAGGTGTGACATCCCGGCAATCACCCAGAGCCCACTCCAGGCAGTGATCTGACTGCAGAGAGGGCTCCCTGTTCTCTGGGAATATCGATGTCAAATTCCTCTGCCTTCCGCTGCTCCCAAGATCAAAACTCAAGTCCCTACAGTGGTCTATAAAACCCTGTGCAACTTCACCCCCTCCCTGTAGCCTCTGACCTCAGCTCCTTCCACTCTGCCCTTCCTCAGTCCGCCCTGGCCATGTGACCTCAAACATGCCAGGCACCCTCTGCCTTGGGGCTGTGCAATGGCTGTCCCTCAGGCTGGCATGTCCTTCCCCTGGACAGACTGGCTCACTCCTTCACCTCTTTGGCCTTTGCTTGCGTGTGTCTTCTCAGTGCGGCCTACTCTGGCCACCCATTTAAAACTGTTAACATCCAGTTCCTGCTCTATGCTCTTTTAAATTCCTCCATAACCCTTATCACTTTCTAATTTTTTGCTTTTAGTTTGTCTCTCTCCTCCCCATTAGAATGCAAGCTCCATGAGGGCAGGGATTTGTTTAATCTGTTTTGTTCGCTGATGTATGCCAACGCTGATGGTGCCTAGACCAGTTCTGGCACCCAGCAGCTGCTCAGTGGACAACTGTAGAACAAATGAATGAATCTCCCTCTTTATATGGCTATGTTGGCTCTTTACTGAGTTGTAACACAAAGGACAGCTTTCTACCTTTTTGAAATCTGACATCTCCTTGGTAACTGGCAACTTCTTCCTGGCATCAATATATCCACCTCTTAACAGCTCCTTCCTTCATCCTAGATTTAATCCTATAGCTTGATATGTGTTTTAGGCTGGGGAAACCAGATAGCATTTGTTAAGAACCACGTGTCAAAGTAAACAGGCTCCTAGTAAGAGCCCTGTGGCCTCTCTTCTGCAGTCACGTGCGTGTCTCTAGTGCTGGACTTTGTGGGGACAGCTCTGAGCTCAGAAGTAATTTCTCTCTTACTCTGGGGCCCTCGAGTGCCCTGTGCCAGAAACTGAGCTATCAGCTATGTGACTGTCAGAATAAAATGCAACATTTCTCTAGTCAGATAGTAAAGCAGATGAGAAGACTTAATGTACCAAAGCATAGAACAAGCAAAATTTTGCTTCTGAATGATGTCTGGAAACTCCAGGAACTCCTGTAACGGGCAGGCAAGGGGCTGTAAATCATGGGCCGCCTCACGAGGCAGCACCATTCTCTGCAAACGCTTCACTGAGCGCCTGTAGCTGTCAAATCAAAGCTGTCATATGATGGTGATGCCCAAATATTAATCTGTATTCCTATGTTTCTTAAAAACAGTCATATCGACAAATACTCCCTATATTAATAACTGCCCTCAGAAATACCAAGCTTGGCTAAATCTCATAAGTAAAAGTTCATCGCTAAGAAACCAAAGGTACCTGTTTCACCTCCTGAGCTGAGCTGTCCAAGGTCCATCTCAGCGTGAGGAGTAAACCGCACTTCTAATGTAGCCACAGGGGCCTTTCTCACCCAGGCAGGAACCATACTGCAGGGGGCTCCATCAGCTGTCCTGGCAGGATGGTGAGGCATGAGCTGGGTCTCTGTACTGCCTCTTTGCAGGACCATGGCTCCCCTTAGCCTCTCATCAATGCCTTCCTCTGAAGAGCTCTTCTCCAGGCAATCTGGGTTAATCTGCTCTTCTGCCACACTTAGACTTTGATCACTTCTTGATTCCAAACCAGAATCCACTGCTACCTCCCAGTGCTTGGGCGAGGGCTGCTGGATTTTTGCTGTGTCGCTGTGTTTCACATAGCTGTCTTGTGAAGTCCTATCTTCAGGACGTTTAGGTTTCTCCTTAGCGCTATGGTGGGGTTGTGGCTCCTTGAGTCCTGAGAGCTGTCGCTGATCACAACCATCAGTTTCGCCATCAGACCAGGACACAGTTTTTGGTTTATGTTGGTTATTCTGCAAATTAACATCCTCTAAAGGCTCCATCAAATTCTGTGGTGAGTCATAATCAGCTATGTAGGGCTTTATGTCTAGTACAGGTGTGCCATGTATCATGTCAATTCCAGAAAGGTATATAGCTCCACCTATGATGTAAAAAAAAAAGACCTTCTTAAAAATATGAACAATGAAGAATAGTGCAAATAACAGAATACAATTATAGCTCGAAACCCTCTCTCCAACACCATCTGCTTATGCCTCACTGAGCTTACAATTTTCTCACACATACTTGGTGCCAACATATGCTTTTCTTTCTACCTGGAAACCCACCCTCTTCTTTACTTGTCAAACTCCTACTTGATCTTTGAGACCCTCACAGAATGAGTCTTCTATAAAGCCTTTTTGGCTCTTCCAAACATGAGCATTCTTTTCTATGGTCCCCACAGAGGAGCCTATGTACACACCTTTGCTACAGCCCTTTCCCCATGGTAGGGCAGGAATCTGCTCGGAGCCCCTATCCCTAGACGGTGGGCAGGTCCCCTGAACACGGGGTGGGGCTGAATCATCTTTGCTTCACTGGTGCTTCTACCTCTGTTCCACACACATAACAATCCTCAGTATCTCCCTATGGGAGCAATGAGGGCTTCTGCTGTGGCAAACAGACTCTAAGGTGGTCCCCAGAACCCCCACCTCCTGGTGTTCATGCCTTTGCATAATCCCTCCTTTTGAGCATGCTTGCTTCCAACCAACAGATATAGCAAAAGAGGTGTGATATCCCTCCAGTGGTTGTTTTTATATGACTCCTGCTTGCTGGTGGACTTCCTCAAGAGGCTCTCCTTCAGGCTAGATGCAGTAGGCAGGCATGCAGGGAAAGCCCACATGGCAAGGAACTGCAAGCTGCCTTTAGGAGCGGAGGGCAGCCTCCAACCAACAACCAGCGAGAAGCTGGGGCCCTCAGTCCTCCAACAACATGGAAGTGAATTTGGCCAACAACCTGAGTGAGTTTGGAAGCAGATTTTTCCCTAGTCAAGCCTCCAGATAAGAACTCATTCCAGCTGACAACTGCAGTATAGTGAGACCCTAAACAGAGGACCCAACGAGGCTGTGCCCATCCTCCTGGGCAACAGAAACATAATATTTCAAACACAAAATAAATGTGTGTTGTTTAAATTGATGAGTTTGTGGTAATCTGTTACACAGCAATACAAAACTAATACATCCATCAAGACTCAAACAATTAAGCAGCACATAAGGCACCATTACCAAATACCAAGGACAGGTCTCCTGTTGTCCCACTTAGATAGCTGCTGTCCAGTTCCTGCTTCTGGTACAGTGTCTACTAAACAGATCCTTGGGAAACTGGCCAAACAAGAACCAGAAAACTGCATGTGGTCACATTTGATTCTGTTTCCATTTAAGAAACATATGATTAACATAGGATCCTGATTTCTAAAACACACTTACCGTGAAGGAGCCTAGAACTTTGGAAAGATGATTCTAGAGACTTTTTAAATAAGTATGCCTCACAATGTCTGCAGGAGACAGGAAGACACTGCAGCACAGGTAAGAGTTCATGGGATTCAGAGTCAGACAACCACCTGGCTGGATGCTATTAGAAAATTTATCTATCATGCCTGTAATCCTAGTACTCTGGGAGGCCAAGGCGGGCGGATCATTTGAGCTCAGGAGTTCGAGACCAGCCTGAGCAAGAGCGAGACCCCGTCTCTACCAAAAATAGAAAAAATTAGCTGGGCATGGTGGTGTATAACTGTAGTCCCAGCTACTCGGGAGGCTGAGGCAGAAGGACTGCTTGAGCCCAGGAGTTTGAGGTTGCTGTGAGCTAGGCTGATGCCATGGCACTCTAGCCAGGGCAACAAAGTGAGACTCTGTCTCAAAAAAAAAAAAAAAAAAAAACAAAGGAAATTTATCTAACATTAAAGAGCCTCAGTTTCTTCATCCATGAAATAGGAACTGCCACCCTATCAAACCCACAGAGCCATCGTGAGATAATGTACATGAATACTCTTTACTAACTGTAAAACACCACACGAACACTAGTAATTGCCATAAAGCTTATGCAGTAATATCTACAATACCACTGTGTCTGTCTTTTGAACTTTTTTATTTGACCTCCCCACCGGAACATTAAGTTCTTTAGGTCAGAGATTTTTATCTGATTTGTTTACTATCTCCAAAGCCTAGAACAATGCCTGGCACACATTCAGTGCTAGAAAATTTGTGTGGGTTGCGTGAATGATCATAAAATGTTCCAGTACAGTTACTCAAGTTGTTTAGCCATTACAAACTGATAAAACTCAAGGTGCATCAGCTACTGAGTTTTTCTGAGAAAATGACCTAAGGCCTAGTTCAGTATAATCCAACGGGGGAGTTCAAGTTCTGAGAAAGAACAAGCAAAATAACCGCTCTCATCTCTTTAGTGCCCAATGGCCTGAAAAGTACTCCTAGAACTTTTATTTCATGAGATCCTCAAAAAAATATCCTGTGGAATCACAGATTGGGCAGGTCCTTCTTCTTGGTCCACTTTACAAACAGTAAGCCAAAACTTGGAATGGCCTTCAACTCCCAGACTACCTGCCATTTCACCTTTTGCCTTTCTAACAAGCGTACTTATTGGGTCAGAGTGATTCCAAAATGGAATGCTTTCCAAAACTACCTAAGTAGGTTACAGATGAACACATAGTTAAAACTAATCTGGTATTCTATACAGACACTTCTACAATCTGACCAGTGTTCGATCCTGTAGTGTGATTCGTCCCTGACTCCTGCCGCACAGCACATCTGACAGCTACGCTGCAGCCATGGCGTATGTCCATTTCCTCAAGCCTGCAAGGAAGGAATGTTATTCCACCACCCTTCGTGCCTACCACATGTGCACGTACAACTAGTCACTGTGTGTTAAATTTGAAAGTATCCAATTATTTTTAATCATTTCGTATTTATTGCATTCCAAGTTAGAGAAAATTTGGTTACTAATTTAATGATTAGAAAATCTATGAGTTATTTTAAAACAATAATATGTTTTGATATATGCAATGATACAAACAAACTCTGAGAATCCTGAGAGCTTACTTAAAAGGGTTTTCAGTGCTAACTGTCTTTTAATCACTGTGTTTTCTTCAATGTCTAGTGGTTCTCAGGAGTTAACACTATTGGTACCCATGTGAATAGCAGCCAGTGGTGAATGCTATGTTTATTTTATAAGATTTTTTAGGGTAAGTAAAAAAAGATAAAAGTAGAAATGAAATGGGTTACCTTCTACCTTTTCCAGCTTGGCCAGGGTCAGTCCTATTGCATTGGGACGATGAGGGCTCCTTGTAGAAAACACTCCAGTCTTTGCACCATTCAGCCTAGGAGGCTGCACTTTTGCCTTACAGCTCAAATGACCATTTTTGTGAAAAACAAACAAAATCCTATTGAAAACAAACCAAACCACTGAGTAAGAAAAGAGCACAAGTTATTTTATCTAATGATTTGAGGGGGAAAAAATGTAATCTCTAAAAAAGAGTAACAAAATAAATGCTTTTGGCTGGGCACAGTGGCTCACGCCTGTAATCCTAGCACTCTGGGAGGCCGAGGCGGGCGGATTGCTCAAGGTCGGGAGTTCGAAACCAGCCTGAGCGAGACCCCGTCTCTACTAAAAATAGAAAGAAATTAATTGACTAACTAAAAGTATATATACAAAAAAAAAAAAAATTAGCCGGGCATGGTGGTGCATGCCTGTAGTCCCAGCTACTCAGGAGGCTGAGGCAGGAGGATCGCTTGAGCCCAGGAGTTTGAGGTTGCTGTGAGCTAGACTGACGCCACGGCACTCACTCTAGCCTGGGCAACAAAAGTGAGACTCTGTCTCAAAAAAAAAAAAAATGCTTTTAAGGGTTTTTTGTTTGTTCATTTTTCAGAGACAAGGTCTTACTCTGTCGCCTAGGCTGGAGTATAGTGGCATAATCACAGCCCACTGCAACCAAAGTTCTGGGCTCAAGAGAGTCTCCCACCGTGGCCTCCCAAGTAGCTGGGACTACAGGCACAAGTCACCATATCCGGCTAATTTTTTACTTTTTTGTAGAGATGGGGTCTCACTACATTGCCCAGACTGTTCTCAAACTCCTGACCTCAAGCAATCCTCCTGCCTCAGTCTCCCAAAGTGCCAGGATTACAGGTGTGAGTCACTATGCCTGGCCTCTAACAGTATTAAACTGTAATTAGTTGGGGAGAAAAAAATACCATTCCCCTTCTTTGAAGGAAGATAGTCTCATATCTATATCCTCTGCACCTAACACAATGACTGGCACATAGGAGGAACTTAATAGATGTTTGTCAAGTGCAAGAACAGACAATATTTACAAAGTGTTTGCTGTTCACTGGGCTGTATGCTAGACACTTTTACACTCATTACAAGTAATCTTCTTAACAATCCTAAGAAGTATAATTTACTCCCCATTTTAGGGATTAAGAAACTGAAGCTCAGAAATATTAAACAACTTCAACAGGCTTTCCTAAAAATGATATAAAAGCAAGAAGCCATGAAGAAAACAACGAACAGATTTGAATTCATTAAATCATAAGCTGTATGTATTTAATACTATAAAATGTCAGCCTAAGATAAAATGTTTACTACATATATTGACAATGGTTAATATCTGGTATATAAATTGCTCCTACAAATCACTAAGTAAAGGACAACACAATAAAGGACACTAAGCAAAGAACATGAACAGGTGATTCACCAAAAAATTACAAATAGCTAACAACCATATGAAAAGATGCAGAGCCTCAATAATAATTAAGAAATTAAACTCAAAAACTACTTTTTCTCCATCAAACAAAAGTGTAAAAAATTGACACCATATTGTGTTGGAGAGGGTATAGGAAAAAGATCATTTGCACACACGACTGAATTTTAAGTTGGCTACTTTCAGAGGGTCATTTGGCAATAGCTCCCCAAAATTATAAATATATATACCCTCTGGCCCAATGCATCCACTTCTGATATCCTATCCACAAAAATACACAAGTGGCCAAGAATATGTGTCTAAGAGAGTTTGTCACAGTTTTACTATAATAACAAAATAGCTCAATTTGTGTATGGTACATCTATATTTTGTGAATACAGACAGTTATTAAAGCAATCTATACGAGTGTGAATCGACACAGTAGCATCGGTAGCAACTCGTATGTCAAGCCACACTCAACACGTAGTGTCACCGTGGAGGAAGGGGGATTTTTGTCTATTTTTCCAGTATCTTTTCTTGTTTTCATTAGCATGAAAGGACAAGTAAAATGTAAATGCAGAGATGGTACACTAACTTCCAGGGGTAGATTATTATCCACTAACTTAGAGCAACGTTTAAATGGAAAGCTCCATATAATCACACCTCACCCTAACAAAAAACACAAAGATTGTGTTGTTTGTTCTAACAGAAAAATCAAAGGAGGAAGAAGAGAGACGATTTATATTTGCAAAACACGTGAATGTAAACAAGGTCTTCATGTGGGTGAATGTTTCAAAAACTATCACACCATGAAAAATTATAGAGATTAAAATTACTCTTTGAATGTATCAATAATTTGAAATATAAAAAAATCCAAATAAGTTTGTATGAAAAGAAACTCCAGTTTTTTATTCTACTGTCACGCTTTGTAAAATCTGAGATATTTAAAAAATTAAATCCCGAGTAGAATAAAGGAATCAAGAAAAAAGCAAGCGAGTGCAAAGGGTTAATATGTTCCATACGCACATTAATCCTCTTGGAAAGAATCATGCCCTTATCTCGTTTGTTTACAACAATGCCAATAGCATTCTGGGTAACACTGTAGACTCTTCCAATTTGCCTCATGGTATCATCTGTGGGGCATGCCTTTTAGAACAGTATCCATTCCCTTGATGCCTACAATATCACCTTTCTTATAGATTTGCACGTATGTGGCAAAGGAACAATGTCATGTTTTCTAAAAGGCCTAGAGAACATATGTTGGTGTTTCTCCTCTTTCCCTTTGTGTTTGTCATTTTGGCAAATTACTGGAAGTTGGTAGTTTTGACCAAAAGGCTGACTCTATTTCTATATCAACAATGTTTTAACTTAAATAACTCTAGATCTCTAACCAAGATCATACAAACAAGGCCAGAACACCCATGTTCTTTCTAATCTACCCAAAGCCCCAAATTAACATGAAAAATAAACTATTTCAGAATAAACACTTAATTTGAGGTCTCCATCAGTAAAATTAGACCAATTCAGACTGCTGATGTTGAGTGAGGAAGAATGAACAGAGACAGAATTCCAAATGACAGCAAGTAACAGCAGTATAACATGAGCCCCAATATAGGTAATACTTTATATTTAAAGTATCTAGATTTCTAAGGTCTTTTGTCTTTTAGGAGGAGTTGACTTAATTCTACATAGGTCTTAGTTCTGCAATCTTTTTCTGTAAAGGATCAGATGGTAAATATTTTAGGATTTAAAGGCCAACCAACCAGTCACTATTATAACTATTCAACTCTGTCACTGTAGCACAAAAGCAGCCACAGGCAATATATAACAAATGGGCATGACTGTGTTCCCATAAAATTAATTTACAAAAACAGGCAGTGGACCATATTTGATCATGGGCTGTAGTTTACTAAGCCCTGTTCTACAGGACAGAATAATGATGCAGGGGCAGAATTAACAGTCTATAGGCCAGGCACAGTGGCTCACACCTGTAATCCTAGCACTCTGGGAAGTTGAGGTGGGAGGATCGCTTGAGGTCAGGAGCTCAAGACCAGCCTGAGCAAGAGTGAGACCCCATCTCTACCAAAAATAGAAAAAATCAGCCTAGTGTGGTGGCGCACACCTGTACTACCAGCTACTCGGGAGGCTGAGGCAGGAAGATCACTTGATTCTGGGAGTTTGAGGTTGCTGTAAGCTAGGCTGATGACATGGTATTCTAGCCTGGGCAACAGAGCAAGACTCTGTCTCAAAAAAACGTCCATAATTTCAGCTCAACAGAAGGCATCCTCACAAAGAGAACCAACCGCAAATGGAACATGCCCCCTCAGTGGATCCCAAGCTTCCCTGAAGATGTCTAAATGACGTAGGCACACATGTAGGCACCATGTGCCTGAATGCAGTACAGGAATTCTGTGCAACAGATGAGGGTGGTCTGGATGGCAGACTGTACAGTTGCCTTCACCTGAAGTACTTTACTTAAGGGCAAGTTCTGGCCCAAAGTATTACTTCTAACTATAAAACAACTTACCAAACATGTGAGAACTGTTCTAGGCCCATCAAGGAATGTTCAGGATTATTAAAGATGCTTTTTCTAATCCTCAAACAAGCCCGGGAATGGCTACAAATGGATGGCTGCCTTGGAGTACCATTCTTGGCTGAGAAACAAGATTCCAAGAAGCCTATTGGCTCAGTTAAAAGATTCCCTGCAGAAGAAAATTAGGTAAGAAATCGTTAGTCAAAAGGTCAAACCACGTTCTAAGAAAACATGTTTTCTCTAATGTACTGATTTCCATGGTTTTAAAATCTGCTATGTGTTATGCAACTATAAAAAATGATTTTTTAGCCAGGCATGGTAGTGTGCGCCTGTAGTCCCAGCTTCTTAGGAGGCTGAGGCAGAAGGATCACTTGAGCCCAGGAATTTGGGGTTACAGTGAGCTATGACTGGGCCACTGCACTGCAGCCTGGGCAATAGAGCAAAACCCTGTCTTTAAAAAACAAAACAAAAAATATATATATTTTTTGAGACAGAGTCTCACTTTCTTGCCCAGGTTAGAGTGCCATGACATCAGTCTAACTCACAGCAACCTCAAACTTCCTGGCTCAAGCAATCCTTCTGCCTCAGCCTCCTGAAGAGCTAGGACCACAGGCAAGATTTTTTATAGTATTCATGAATACATATAAATTTCCCATCATTATATACACATAGTAATATACCTTTACATACATTGGAACAGGGGTGGGGAACCTGTAGCCTTCTAAATCATTAAGAGCAGCCTTTTGACTGAATCCAAATTTTATAGAACTTCTATTTTTATTAAAAGATTTTTACTCATCTTTTATATTTTTATTTTGTTTTTAAAATGAATGTATTTAAAATACTAAAGAATAAAATAAGTTTCAACAAAATAATCCTCCTAGATTGACAGGAACAAGTAGAACACAATAAGAGATGACCAGCAAGGAGTGGTTTTTAAAAGCCCTTGTTCAAGCTTTTTCCTCATTTTAACATCACAACTGTATTAACTGTAATAAGTAAAAAAAAAAACAGTAAGTTATTAATGCACAGTTTTTCTGTACAATGCTTATGTACAGGTCTTGCTGTGAAACAAAGTTCAGGTCTTTTTCATCTCTGCCTGGACTATTAAATTACCCTTGTTATACTTCCTCTCTCCAATGCAAGTCCTTCCCTTGTCAAAACACAGTAGACCAAACCTCTACACTCCTAGAGTTTCTTGTATTATGTCACTCTCTACCTTTAAACGTTTCATGTTCCCCACTGTTAACAGACTATTTCTTTGTCTGGTGTTCAAGATTCTCCACAATCTGAATCCGATCAAAGATTCCCATCTTCCTGTTCCATCCAACACTTCAGACTTACAGCTCACCAACTCCATGCTTTGTAGACCTCTGAACCCTGGTTTCTGCTCTTCCCTCCCTGTCAAAATATCAGACCTGTAAGCTGGCAGTGTACAACAAATTTTTTACATGAGCACAGTCTTTGACCAGGTATTAGCACTTCTAGGAAATTTAACAAAGTTGAACATTTAGAACAGTACACAAGGATTTCGGTTTCAAGAACTTTTATTTAAAACAATGAAAACTGGCAATAACCTAAATAATGCTTAACAATCGGGAGCTGTAAGTCTAAATAAATTAGAGCACATCTTCAAAACAAAATAGCATGCAACCTCTTAAAATTAAAATGAAATTGCCATGGAAAGACTTTCATAAAATTTAAATTTTTAAAAAAATTATAAGACAATGGGGTTGCATAGGACCTCATTTTCCTAGTGTGCATGAAATGAAACAAATATGGAAGGTAGACAACAAGATATTGACAGTGGTTTTCTCTAGGTGATGGCAGGCTATTTTAATTTGATCCTTCTAGTTTTAAAACTAATATATTCCGCTCTCCATAAAGAGGTATAAATAAATAGAAACAAACTCATGTCTATTCCATACCCAGTTTAAAACTATTTCCTCCTCTAAACTTTCCTCCTTCTCCCTTTTCATTTCCTACAGCGCAAGACACCTCTCTCTAGTGCCATTTATTAATTCTTAAACGGTATAACAATAGTTGTACACATCCCATGTCCTCCATAGCTGGGAAAACCTCCTTCGCAGCACGTGGCTGTCCTAGCTACTGTGCCAAGACTAGGCAGACAGTACCTGCCCTGTACCAAGAACAGAGCATGCGAGATGACGTCATCCCACGCGACTCACACACATCACATGGCCACCAGAGCACGTGACCCGTGCCTTCGCCGTAGGTAAGAAGATGACGCACGTCAGTTCAAAATATCGCATTTCACCCCAATCTCGGCAATGAAGTCGGCTGCCTGGGCTTAGGCCTCTCCTGAGTGCGGCACCGCCAGTCTCTTAGAAGTTACCTGTTTCCAGAGCCGGCTTCACGCAGCCGCACGGGGTCGCTATGGGCTGAGACCCTGGCTCCTCCAAGCCACGCATGGCTCCTGGTCGCTGAGAGATCTACCCGACCCGTCAAGACTTCCGCTTCCGCTGTCTATGCCTGGCGCCTGCGCAGTAGCCGCACTGGCGGGGTACGGCGACAGCCGGGAGGTCTTATGTGGGCTGTCGAACCCCTGTCTAGTCCCCATTCGTGTCCGGGATCCAGATGGTAGTTGTCTCGGGCTGAGCCCCGGCGGTGGCCCGCCTTCTCAGGGAAGCCTGCGGCTCCGAATACCCGCGCTTTCCGAGGGGCCATCTGTCAATGAATAATTACGTGCAAAGATGTCCCTCTTGAAACATTAATAATAAGCAACATACATGTCTAGCAAATGACCCTAATTTTTAAAGAAAAAAGACGTGTATATGTAATTCCCACAGAGCGGAAGGATCTGACGTTAAGAAACGTTAAGAATTCTCTTTTGGCAGGACGCAGGGGCTCACGCCTGTAATCCTAGGCTTTGGGAGGAGGATCGCTTGAGCCTAGGAGTTTGAGATTGCAGTGAGCTGTGATGCTACTGCACTCTAGCCTCCCGCAAGTGAGCAAGACCCTATCTCAAAAAAAAAAAAAAAAAGAAAAAAAAATTCTTGGGTGGTGGGAATGCAGAGGTGATTATACTCTGTATGCTGCGATTTTTCCATAATAATGTTTTGTTGGAACTCCAAGTAAACCTTATTTCAAATGTGATGGATGTTATAAGGCAGGCCACACTGTGCTAGGCTTAAGTAATGACTATTTCTTGTGTTCAATACTTCACTGACACTAAAGTGAATGAAGTTTTGAGCGTTAATATGCCAAGTACGTTGAGGGGATTATTGTCATTTATGGGCGGCTCTGAAAAGTTCAGTGCCCAACAGGAATTATTTTCATCCCATGCAAGGACCAGTTGTCCCCGCACTATCCTTTAACCCCTTGTAGTGAGATCTCTCACCTATATCAGCTTTGTACACATAATTCTGTTTCTGCGCTTTTTATTCCGTTAGTTCAGAAAAAAAATTTTATTGCCTGCAATATAAAATATTAAAAGCATACAAGTCTACAGATTAAGAAGCCTAACAACCATGAAAAGCTGTTTCTGTCATTTGCCACCGATTGGTAGCAGAAGATAACCAGCAGCAAGAGCCAAAGCTTTAAAAAGAAGATTGGTTTTAAACAAATTTTAAAAATTGATCAAATTCACAGTGTCTTCTGGCAGGTCTTTTCTACATAACAATTTTTAAAAGTATGGCATTATTCTGGTTTTAGGAGGAACAGTTATGTCCAGCTGGAAAGCGAGTCTGAGAGCCATTGAACTATATACATATATGTGTGTGTATATGTGTGTATATATATGTGTGTGTGTATACATTTTATATTATATATATATATATAGTATATTGTAAAACTGGGCCGAAATAATTGCACTTGCCACTAGATGGTGATATTGCTGAAATTGATGGCCTTGCTTTAATTTGCAGAAAAACTGGTGTTTTAAGAGGTAGGGGGCTGATAGATGTTTGATCAAACAATCACACAAAAAATATATAATTACCAAGTGTGACAAGTACTGAAATGCAAAGATGACTTGAAGACACTAGTGAAGTATATTGCTACCTCTTTTAATGGTAAAATTTCTCTTTACAGAAAACAGGAACTGCAGCACTTTTATTATATAATATGATTTCAAGTTTTTATCATCCTGTTTAGAGTTATATTATTATGCTGATTATAAACTAGAAATGTTATACTGATTATTTCTAGTTTCTAGTACAACCACTGTACCTACCATAAAAGGAGGGCAGCACAGAGTAGAGCTAGATGGATTCTTCCAAAATTAATTCTAACTATGATCTCAAGGGTCAAAGCCAAGAAGAAAACCGGAAAAATTCTAGATGCACACTGGTGTTTCAACAAGAATGGTGAGATAGCAGAGGTTGCATATGTATATAAGGAGTGGTGTAAGAGGGCAGGAAGAAGGGGTCCTATCAGGTAAAGAGGGAACCTCAAGTTTCTGCTTCCTCTAACTTACTGTATTCCTCTTTCCATCTACTTCTCTATCTCTTTCACCTTTGTGACCCTTTACATCTCTTAAGGTTCATCTTAATGAAACACTATTAGAACTTGAGACTTCAGTTTACTCTTTCTCTAATCTTGACCCACTCTGGTGGGTGAAATTGAGATAGAAACAACGTTCTAAAGATGGAACATCATAGCGAAAGGCACTGAAACTAAAACTGCTACTCCATTGTTCAAAAATCTTACTTAGTTCCTATCACCTAACAAGTGATGTACTTCTTAGGTATGCAGAATTCTCTACACTCTAATAATACAAGCTCTTCAGCATGCAAACCTTCTGTTCCATATGCACGCCATATTTATTACAGTTTGCATGCAATTCTCTTGAACATGTCTTGAACTTACCCTTCTCTGTGTCATACACAATATTGCTGCTGTCTTCATCTATACAAATCCTATAAATCTATACAAATCTCCATCTTTCAGGGCTCCACTCGTGTAGTTTTTTCAGGTTACTCTAGCAAAAAGTGAGCATTCTCGCTATTGTATCTACTATTCAAACAGTACTAGCATTTAGTTTTCTTTTGCACTGTTTTCTGTTTTATTCCCCCTGAGACTAAATTAAACTCCTGGTGGGCAAGAACTATGTGTTAGATAGGTCATCTAACCTTAGTAGTGTTTACATGATGCCATCCACACAGTTAAGAGTGTAATAATGATTTAATGTACAGTTTGCACAAATACAATATTTAAAAAGTAAAAATAGATAAACCAAAATTCAAATACAAAAGTAAACTACATTCATTACTCCAAAATATCTTTAAGGAGTCCCAGAATAAGAATTGCTAAAATTAACTAAAAGAACCAACTAAGTCTGAATAAAATGTTGATGCTATTGTTACATGAATAATTGAATAACATTTACAAGAAAACTATATATGCCCCAAAATGTTAAGTGTTCAGACTTAATCACTTACTTGTTTTTTTAAGAATTAACCAAATAAGTGTTTGTTCTTCGGGGAGAAAATTCAGTTATTTGGTCCTCCCCCTTGTTTGTTTCCTCCCTCCACTATTCTCCCCACCACAAACACACACACAAACAGAGGCAGGATATTGTTTATATGATAGGGCCTAAAAAAATGTTAGTTCTCTTTTCAGATATCATCTATAAATGGAAGAAAAGAGTAAGTTAAAATATTAATGAACACTGTAGAAATTTCTACAATATTTTGAGAAAAATCACACAAAATATTATGATGTATATTCCATTGGACTACAACTTTATGGTTGAGCAATGTTAAAACAAAACATAACTGTAGACATCATTTTCTGGAGAAATCTCTTGAGGAATGTTCAGAGTTGCTGGTTCTTCTGCTTTGGGTTTTTCTTTCATATCTGTAAAATCAAATAAAATACAAAAATAGATTCAACAAGTAGTATTGGGAAAATTGACTACCCATCTGAAGAAAAAAACTCTACCTTACACCATGCACAACAACAAATTTCATATGGATTAAAGATTTAAATATTAAAATACCATAAAGTTATAGAAATAATAGTGTTTTTATAATCTTAGGATTCTAAGCAGGACACAGAGATCAGAAATCATAAAGGAAAAGGTTGACAGGTATGAATACTTAAAAATTAAAATCCTATATAGCAAAAACCACTATAAATAAAATTAAACTATAAAAAACTGGAAAGAATATTTATAACATATATGTAAATGAATATTTAATAACTATTAAAGAGATTTTTAATCAATCAAAAAAGATAGCTATCACAAATTTAAAATGGGACAAGGATTCAAACAGGCAATTGTCAAAAAAAATTCACATTCTTAGTAATCAGGAAAAGATGTCCAGTAGTATTCATTTAAAAAGGGTAACTAAGACAATTAGGTAGGTTTTTATTTTTTAAACTAGCAGATAGGCAAAGGTTTTTAAAATGTTATCGTGTACAGTGCTAGCAAGGGTGTGGGGAAAAGGCACTTGTCTTGGGTGAATTGCTACATTTCTGGGGGTTGGTCTGACTGAATGTATCCAAACTTTAAATGGGGGTACCTTTGACCCATCAATTTGACTTCTAGGGATCAAGCCAAAGGAAATAATCAGGCAAATTTAAGCTTCCAGTGACTAGTTTCCTTATACATAAAGTGGGGATATTATTTTTCCAGTAGGTTTTTTAACATTGAATAAAATAATTCACATAAAAGATTTAATGCAGTATCTGGCACATAGAAAAGTGACAAATAAATATCAGCTACATAAATGTTACCCCCAATGATGTACATTGAACATTGTCATAAAACTTGACAATAACGTAAGTGTTCATCGTTATAGGGATTGGTTGAATAAATTATCGTACATACATATAGCACAATGCTATACAGTTTTTACAAAAGATATAAGGTGGCTACTTTATATATGTGGGAAAAAGTTACATAATAGGATGTATAGTGTTATCGCATTTGTTAAAACAACCTTAACATCAGAGATTGGAGATAGGAGATAATATTATAGGGGATTTTTACTCTACATCCACTTACATATTGCTTTAATTTATTATTATGAACATTTATTACTTTTATAATCAGCAAAATACAGACATTCCCATTTGTTTGGTAAGACAAAATCAAAAATAAAATGAGCATAAATTAATTGCCCATATCTCCTTTTCTGGGTGTAGAATAAAACTGTTAGGAATCCAGATGCTGTGTTGATTAGAGCTACTTTTCCAGCAGAGTACTTGGTCAGGGCAAGCAGTGCTTAATATGTCTGCTTTATATAGTAATTCATTTCTTTAAAGTAGTTCCTCAAAATATATATTACTTGGAAGCTAACTAACACCATGTTTTGATGCACGTATCTTTTAGGAGAAGAAGCAAAGAAACTACCAAAGGGATTTCTTTAGAAAACAGTTTCCTGGGGATAACGATGGTCTGATAGACTCAGCCCATTTCTTATACTGTCTATTGTACAAAGAATTGAGGTTCTCAGGTATGTTTCTGAAGGTGAGTCAAATTAAAGAAAGGTCATCCACTTCTTTCAGACAGATATGAAAAAAATGCTATGCTTAACAAAATGCTTTTAGGAACAAATACAGAAATAGAAATTTTTTTGGTAAACCTGATAAATCCTACAAGAATGAGTTCTCTAGTAAGAGAATCAAATTTTACACCTTCATAACTCCATCAGTACCTTGTACTATAAATTTACTTGCCTTTAGTTTATCAGGAAAATTAAATGTATGAGAAAAACTTCATCCATCGAGCCTTCTTGTTAATCTAGACTTATTTCCTTTAAATTATTTTGCACATAATTCATTTCACTGACTATAGCTTCTCAAAATGGAGAGTATGTACAAGTACCTACTGTATATTCTTGCATTTCAATTATTTTCTTAAATTATTTGGAAATATGCCAAGACAGATGTTGGTTGTATGAAAAATATTTATTACTTGAAACTAGCCAATGGTATTCATAGTACTTGTTGAGATAACCTATGATTTTCAAAGAAGGTTGTAAATCACGACTCAGATATACCTACCTTGGTGCTATCCATAGTCCTTACCTTGAGGAAAAGAATAGACGTCGTTAGCATCTTTCTGGTGTACTTTAGGATCCTGGCCTTGGGGCCCACTGATTTCTTGGTATGGTTCTGGAAAGCATTCTTTAGGCACGACCTTATTTTCATACATCTTAGTAGAGAGGTTTTCAGGCCCCAGTGTTTCTTGGTTTATTTCAGGTGAACATACTTGGAGCCCAGATGTTTCTTGGTATATTTTAGGTGAATATTTTCCAGGTCCAGGGGTTTCTTGATATGTTTCAGGTGAATATTCTTCAGGCTGAGGTGTTTCTTGGATTGTTTTATGAGAGGGGGCTGCAGGCACAGTAATTTCTTTATATGTTTCATGAGAAGAGTATTCAGATTCAACTGTTTCTGGGTATGTTTTTGTAGAAAGGTCTTTGGGCACAGCTATTTCTTGTGTTTTGGGAAAGAAATCTTCATTCTCAGCTGTTTCTTGAACTGATTCAGCATTGTATTGCTCCAGTTCACCTGGGTTTTGGTACATGTCAGGAGTTGTAGGCACATCTGGTTTGGGGTATGCTTCAGGAGAGCATCCCTCCAGGTCAGATATGGCATCAGAGGTTGTACAAGGAAGAGCTTTGGGTACAGCTGTTTCTTGGCACATTTTAGGAGTGTAGTCTTCAGGTATAGCTGTATCCTGGCACATTTTGAGAGAATGGTCTTGAAGTATAGTTGTTTCTTGACTCATTTTAGGAGTGTGGTCTTCAGGTTTAGCTGTATCCTGGCCCATTTTGAGAGAATGGTCTTGAAGTACAGTTATTTCTTGACTCATTTTAGGAGTGAGGCCTTCAGGTTTAGCTGTATCCTGGCACATTTTGAGAGTATGGTCTTCATGTATAGCTATTTCTTGACACATTTTAGGAGTGTGGTTTTCAGGTTCAGCCATTTGCTCGCATGTTTCAGAAGAATGGTTTTGTACTACTACTTCTTGGTACTCAGAAGAATTTTCCTGATTTATAATGCTTTCTTGATGTGTTTCAGAAAAATGTTCCTTGGGCACAACTTTTTGCGGGGAGGCTACTGAAGGAAGAGCTTCACTCACACTCCCAGGTAGCTCGGTTTCTTTCTCTGTAGGTGCCAGTGCTTGTTCCATAACTTCCTTTTCTATTTGTGACTGAGGTTCCACCTTCAGTTCTGTATTTTGTTGTCTCTTTCTGCCTCTTTGATTTCCTTTTCCTGTTCTCTGCAACTTGCGTTTTTTCTGTTCTCTGCTGAGAGAACAGAAAATTAGTGTCAGCAATGGTGCTACAGAATTCATATAAATGCTTGTAATAACAGTTCCAGGTCCACAACTGCCTTATTGCACAACCTTGAACAAGTCACTTAATCTTTCTGATCCTCAGTCTCCTTGTTTGTAAAATTAAGGAGCAGTGCTAGATATTCTGAATTCTTAGGAGAGGGAATGTCTCCCCAGTATGTTTTGTCTTTGATGTCTTGCTCACTGGGAGTCTTCTTGGTGAATGTAATGTGTGTGTATTTGATAGCATATACTTAAAGTTTGGTTATGGAAAATTAATATTTCCTATTATAAATTAATAGATTGGCATTCTTATTTATATACTAGTCTAAGTTTAGTCTGTGTGAGTTAGCCTCGCTAGCCCCAGGTAAACTGAACAGTTGCATTTCTAGATCTGCAATCCAGGCACGGCTCCTCATCTGTGCAGGCTGCAGGTGGATGATGCTTATCAAATACGATGTTTTGTGGAAAGAATGCTAAGTTACTACAGTACACATCAAATGAAGTATACTGTAAGCTGGGTCAAAATCTGCAAAAACATTTCTGGAAGTTAAGAAGCCTGGTGGAAAGGCATGAGTGGCCATATTATACCTACTTCTCATAAATAGATTAAAGATGAAAGGATATGCATGGAAATTACAGCCAATGACAAATTGTTAAGCACTGCAAATATAACCAAATACAGATGGCTAATACAGATGGGCTGGAGGGGTAGAGGGAAGTACTATAAATAAGCATTTCATCATTTTTCTAAACCTACTGAAATTCTGTTTCATGCTACCCATTGCATGGAGCCTTCTCTAACAGACCACAGGCCTGAAATACTCCCCCTGCTTAGCGCTCCGTGAGTATCACGCAAAAGGTGAAACACAGGTTGCCTCATACTGTAGTTATTTCTGAAGAAACCATATTTCTTTTAGTAAAATAGACATTCTTTCAAGATAAAACCAGTGTTTTTTCTATCTTTATAGTGCTCACGGTTCCTTGCACATTTAAAAATGTAAACCCCATTCTACTTTATATGTGTTTGAAAATTTCCATAATAAAACAGTTTTTAAAAGATTACCTCATCAAACACAGTGAAGTCAATATTGAAAAGCTATATATGTCATAGGACAGTCAAAAATGAATATTAAAAATCATATTTTAAAAAAGGGAATCTACAGATGATGATTATGGCACCTCAGCATTTTTAACTCTTATTCCACATAACCAAGGACAAGATAATTATAAAGTTGTCCGATTAAAAAAAAGATGGTATATCTTAATTCTTTAGTAAATAATTATTTTTTACAAGATATTAAAACTTAAATAATTTGTGATTTAGATCTCTATATGAGGAGATCTGAGTAATAATAGTGGTTCATATCTTCCCTGGTAGTTTTTCAAAAGATAGAAAAACATCTATGTGGCCTAAACTTTAGTCTATACTCTATTATGATTGTGGGAAAGTCATTTAAATGCTCTGTACCTTGGTTTCCTTATTGGTAAAATGGGGTAGATAATATGTGCCCAACTTCATGTGGTGGTTATAAGAATTACATATAATAACTTACATGAATGAATTATTCAAATACAAATTAGTACTCTAGTATTAATATAGTAAACACCTATAGTGCTTCCTAAATGTCAGGCATTGTTGTAAGTAATTTATTTATTCTGTTATCTCATATAATCTTTACATAAACCTAGGAGATAGATACTCTTATCTCCATTTTGCAGATGACAAAACTGAGGCACAGAGAAGTTGAGTAACTTGCCCAAGGTCAATACCTAGGAAGTAGAACAGACAGGCTTCCAATTTAGTCATTCTGGCATTAATGGCTGGACTGATCACCATACATTCTGCTGCTTCACTCTGAAACTACTAAGGTTTCACCGTGTACAGCATGTTTCAGTGAGAAAAGAGGACATGGCCCTCAGACGTATAGAGCTATGTCACCAGAGCAAGTCCAGCCAGCTGCCAAGAGGCTTAGTGAGGTGTCGATTACTTCAGTGAATTCTCAGCCTTGTCCCCTGAGCCCAGCAAGCTGGAAAGCCAGTTCTGTTCAGCACACTGAGACTAGCTCCATTTATCAGCTCCTCAACCAGGCTTAAAGAGACTGATGTATAAACCTTAAGACCAGTTTTTAAATTAACAGTGAGAAATACAAGTCTCACAGCAGAGAATACCTGGGCTGGCAAACAAACACACTCTCTCTGTAGGTAAGTACTTGGGAAGCCAAGTAATCATCAAAGGTTGCTTAGTGGGTATGGAATTCAGGGAACTAACTGGATAATCTTCAACAGTCACCTGCCACAGGACCCAAATACAAAGTTTCTGCTATAAAATGATATATGTATTCCTGAAAAAAACTCACTTTCTGCAAAATCATGCATGAAATAGTAACTGTGGTTACAGGCGGGAAGGGGAGGGGAGAGAATAGGCTTGGGAGAAACAATTCAAAACCTATGCAACCTTTTAACACTAGCAAAAACAATAATTGATACCAGGGGAGATGGTACAGACAGGCAGCTTGCAGTGGCTAGAGGCTGCCTCAGGGAATAGTAAAAATACAAAAAAGCAACAGTGTCACTTCAGGTTCTCAGGTGAAACCCTGAGACCTGAGCTCTGAGCCAGCAGGGCTGCCATGAAGTTGAGCACAGGAGGCAGTGCTGCAGCTGCCACATGGTGGAGAGCTCTGCCAGGCTGGTGGTGTGCCTCTCTGGGGAGGGAACCCTGGATGCGGGCTGGAAAGGATCCTGTCTCTACAGCAGCCACGCTGAGGCTTTTTTTCTTTATAGGTTTAAATTCCATTGCCACTATCCTGGCCTTTTTTTAACTAGGAAAAATCATGAACCACCCAACTCCCACATTATACCCACATCATTCTCCTATTTACCAATCATATGTGAGCTAATTGGTGTTCTAGAAACATCTGTTGTAGCAGAACAGACAGTACTCAGTCCGTAGTGGGAGGTGGAGGACTGGGAAATGCCCTTTCTTAGGAAGAGCGCTTTGCATAAATCAGTGGGGGTGATTTGGCCTACCTCTCCCCAACCCTATCCCAGAAGACATTCGACAATGTCTGAAGACGTTTTGGTTGTCACAACTGAGGAAGGAGGTGCCATTAGCAGCTAGAGGCCAGAAAATGCTACAAAGCAACAACAATGCACAGGACAGCCTCCCACAACAAAGAATTATCCTGCCAGTGTCAACAGTGGACTGAGAAATGTGGGCTTAGGTGGATGCCGTGCTTTTGGCTCTTTGGGCTCCCTTTTCCAAACAAGCAAGTCTCCACTTGTCACAGTCATATTCTAAATGGATGTAATTAGATGCTGCCTAACATATAATCATGTTCATACTCCCTGCCTGAGTTTACATGCAGGTGACTTTGGAGATTTAGAAATTCCCAAACTCTGTTACTCATTTAAAGACATTTTGGTATACTTCATGGAGAGTTAATCACACCCATTCAGTAAGGATTTTACTAACAGGAAGCTCCAAGAACAATCTTGGAAGCTCTCAGTGATGTTTCCCACTCCCAACAACAAAATGCTTGTATGTTTATATTACCACAGTAGCTCAATGCCAGGCTTCTCTACAATATAATTCAGTTGCCAGCTGCTTGAATTAAAAGAGATTAGGGATAAAATTCTGTTCCCACCACTTAATAATAGCTATGTGACTTTAAGCAATAGATTTAACCCATTGGAGATTTTGTTTCCTTTTTTGGTAGAATAGGGATAATGATGCCCAATTTACAGAATTGTTGGAAAGATAAAATCCAGTGTGTAAAGTGCCAGCACTACTTGACATATAACATATGCACAATAAATATTAGTTCCTTTTCCCTTGTGATGATACCATACCCAAAGTGCCATTGTGAAGTCTGATTTCCTTGTGATTCAGCTGTTCTTTTTCTGAGTTGTTCTCTGTTTCGCAACCTCCAACGTCCAGTGACTTCTGTAGGATCAAAATGAAAGTTATAAAAAAAAAAAATAAAAAAAATAAAAACAAAATGAAAGTTATTAGAGAAATTGATGAACTATGCCATTTATCAGTAAAAGGATCCTACAGCCAAGTGGCAGAATCCCTGTGCTAGATTTTTCTCCCAGCTTTTTGAGGACAAGGACTATATCTCGTTTATTCTTATAACCCTTGTATCCCTAGAGAAAGCCTGGGAGCAGACATTCAGTAAACATTTTTGAATGAGAAGGTCCATAATATTTATTTGCACGTAAGTGTGCTACCAACCTACTAATTCCTTTAAAATATTTTTTATATGTTGTACAGATAATGGAAAAACTCAGCCATGTTCTATAATCTTTAACATGTTAACTTGTTTTGATTTTATTCCTCATTTCCATGGAGTCCCTATGTTATACAAAGTTGTAATATAGGGTATCACAATTTTATCTTTTTTTAACCTAACATTATATCAGAACTATTTTCCATGAGATAGTTTTCATAATTATAATTTTAATGATGATATGATACTTAATCTAGTTGATGTATTCTCATTTACCCAGTCACTGTACCTGTGTTGAGCATTTAGGTTGTTGCCAGTTATTTTTGTACATCAATTTATAATAAACATATTCATTGCATACAGCTTTATATTTTTTCTTTTGGATTTTTTTCCCTTAGGATCGTATTTCTTTGTTCTTTGGAAAATTAAGGGTATTATCAAAAAAGGTTCTACTGCCATTTGAATTTGAGAAAAGTTAATGGGTGTTTGGTGTAGAACCTCTTAGAGCCTGTGGTGGGATGCAGATCTGCACTGGGACCTCCAAAGAGAGAGCATTCCCCGTGGACCGTTATACCTTTTGTTCTTATGACACGGGTTCTTGATGGGGAAAAAAATTATAGCTTTATTTTTACCAATCTGTAATTAAAATTACCATTTCCTTCAATTATGAATGTAGGTATCAAAGCATAGTAATTTAAGCAGTGTGTGACTTTGTCACATCCATTACAGTCATTGCAGATACCTTAAAGTGTCATTTATTGGATATGATTTATTTGATTTGATACAATGATCATTAGACCCACCACTGGGTCTTGTTATTTAATACATCTACAAATAAGCACATATGTTACTATAGCACTATTTTTAAGGTTGATAATTGTATCTGTTTACTTTGTAGTCCTATGTATTTAATTTTACATATTTAAAATTCTTTATTCAAAGAAGGGGTTCATCAGAATGCCAATGAGATCCATGGAACAAGAAAATTTTAAGACACTGTCTTAGTGTAACTCAAGGCTCAGGATTCTGCAAATACTTTGAGAAATGCTGCTTTAGCCACATCCAAGGACTGAGATTAGTGAGTCAAAGAATAAGTATTATTATAGTTCTTGCTACATATGGCCAGACCTTTTTTCAAAAGTTATACCAAATTTACACTACTATAGATGTGTATGGGTATACTTGTTTTACCACAACTATCCAGTATTGGGTATTTTTACTATCTTTCATTTAAGTTTATTTCTTATTAACAATTTATTCATTATTACCTTTGTTTCTCTGGCTTATTAGAATCTTAGCACTAAAAGGCACCTTAGGAAGTTATACAGCCCTTCTTCCCACCTAAGGTTATATGAATTTACTCAACTATACTGTTTTATTTTGGGGCCAGATTGATAAAGAAGAGGAAAATAATCATAGCCCCCCAACTCTTCCCAACAGCCACCACCTCCTAAGGTCTCTTTCATTACCTGGAGTATGGTTCTCTTCTTGATGAGGATCAGATGTCTGACGGTACTTCACATGAGATTTGTCCTTTCCCAAATCCATCTTGCTGCAATGCCTTCCTGCTATTTGGTCTGACTTCCACAAGCAGCCTAAACGCTTTTTTAAAATATCAAAAACAACTAACACTTAAAAAAAAAAAAAAAAAAAAAAACCACACACGCAAGTTTGCCTGTCACTTGACTTCCCGCCTAAAAATTTTATCTGGTTGGACCACAACCGCAGGCTAATTCTATTTTCTTTATCACACTGCACAGGTGTGAGTAGGGGAAATGGCTGGTGCTAGCAACCTCTAGCATATTGGTTTATACGGGGAGCCCCCCCGGGCCACAGACTGGGAGGGCACAGCCTCCGGTTCAGCAGTCATTGGGTCTATATGCCAGGAAATATGTGGATCCAATGTTTCTTTTTTCAGATGGAGATGACCTTGTGTAGAAAGAACACTGTGTCTAAGCTCCAGCCAGCTCAGTGGCCCAGGGCAAGTCACCTTCTTTTTCTGTGACTCTGTTTCCTCATTTGCAAAATGGGTAAATAATTCCTGTTTTGCCTCCTTCATACAGTTCTTGTGAAAGTGAAAATAATGGATGTGGAAATTAGGAAGTGTGCTATACATATGTGAAATTAATCTTACATTGTTTTCCTGTATGTGGCTTATTTTTCACCTTAATCTGTTGCAACATAATGTAAAGTCTTGGTGTTTATGTTGTTAGGTAATAGTGCAGTGTGACCATTCCCTAAGTCAGTGACCTTAGGCAAGTTAGATGGCTTTGGAGCCAGTTTACCTATCTATATCATGGGGACAATACTGGTATCTACTTCATAAGGCTACTGGGATGATTAAGTCAGATAATCCATTTAAGGCCTTTTATATGTGCCTAGCATATTGAACTTGCTTAGTAAATATTAGCTGCTTTTATTAATAATTAAAGTGTAGTAACCAGATTTTGGTAAACCAAATCATAGTTTAAATGCACTAAAGAAACAAAATCTTAAGGGAATCTTTTATAAAGACTGATAAAACGTGAATAGGAGTTCCCTACTTCCATAGAGTCTTAAGGCATTAGAACTGGAAGAGCCCAAAACCATTAGTTCCTCCCCCTATTTTATATACGCAGAAACTGAGAACCGAGGAGGGGAAGGATTTAACTGCTCAATATTTCCTTTCTTATTGCCAAAAGCACCTTTTGCGGATTATGAGATGGGTCTTTTTTTTATGCTTGATTTGCCTAGGTATGAAAATGTACGTGTGGTGTGAATGTATGAGATAAACGGTTTTCAAACACACTGAAAAGTATTGAGACTGATAAAACACCCAAGCACCTGCCACTAAAATTGAACTTGGTTTTTAATTACCAGTTCTTAAAGCTTAGCTTTACCTTTCTCAGTTCCCCAGTCTTTCTCTTAAGTAAATCTCTATATCTAAAAATTCAGATAACCTCAGGATTGTCAAAGGAATCCTGCATGGAATGGCAGGCATTCTTTATAGTTTATCTCTTGAAAATTTTATATTTTCAGATATGAGGTTTAAAGAACTCAAATTGGGGTAACTTTAAAAATGATAAAATAATGTTTTATAATTTAAACTGGCATTTTAAATATTGGTCCCTTTATTTGATATGTTTTGATTCATACTAGTTAGGTCATTTCTTATATTATGATAGTTTAATAAAATAACCCTATAGAATCATTCTGGCCATTTAAGGCCTTTTATATGTGCCTAGCATATTGAACTTGCTTAGTAAATATTAGCTGCTTTTATTAATAATTAATTAATAACACCTTCAGAGGAGGTGTTATATTAATTATTATTAATAATATTGTTGTTAATATATTACAATAATATTATTGTAATTAATATTAATTATTATTAATAATTAATAACACCTTCAGAGGATGCAGAGGTACTTCTTCAATAGAGTTATCCCTACTCAGAGCTTACAACTTCAGTTCACCAATTCAGCACATGTTACTGAATGCACACTCTGTGCCACGTAGTGAGCAAGGCTGTCAGGCTACAGAGATGGACAGTGTAGTCCCTGAGGTCTGTGTCCTGTAGGCTCACGAGGTGAGAGGGTATATACCTTTACTGTAAGGAAATAATATTTAGATTTTTTTATATCCTGTGACAACCTTCCTAAGTTGATTCCGCCTTGCCCCATGTTCTCTGTATCTAGAAGCAGAGTGTGGAGGGACTTTAAGAGGACGGGATCTCAAGATAACAGTATATTGAGGGCAATACTGGGTGGAGGGGGCCAGCAGAGACACTTTGGAGCAAACTAGATTGGAAGTCAGGCAAGGTGTCTCTGGCGTGATAAACAGGCCAGAGCGGGAATTTTAGACAGAAATAGCCATACAGTAAGTTTACAGGCCATATTTCATGGCTTTTCTCTTTTCTCTAGAAAACTCTAGTTACCAGAATGTGAGACTTTAGGCATTAAGGCCAGATATTTTTTAACAAATGCTGCCTTGTTCTAGAGTTATTTTCATATATACCCAAAACCTCCTTCTGGGCCACAAACTCTTAAAGGGCAGGCAGTTATGGCTCCTGATTCACCTTTCTGTCCCCACAGTATGATATACTGGGAGGCCTGGCCCGCAGGAGCCCCCATAACAGCCCTCGCTCCCTGCATGCAAGCCCAGATGCGTGGCCATGCAGCCTGGGAAGGGTTGATGCTGCTGCGACTTAGTAATACCTTCATCTGTCCAGAGCTCTTTCCGCTGTCATTCATTCTGTGCCCAGCCCTGTCCTATGTGCTGGACATATAGTAGTTAAAGGCCAAAGTCCCTGCCTTTATGAAGCCTGCATTTAATGGGGAGAGATAAACAATAAGCAATAAAATAATATGTCAGATGGTGATAACTGCTTTAGAGAAAACTGAGCCAGAAATAATAGGATGGGGAGTCAGGGTGAGATTGATGCTGGCTGCTGTTATAAAAAGTGTGGTCAGGGAAGGCTCGTCTGATAGGATGACAGGTGGGCAGAACCAAAGGAGGTGAGGGGCTAGATGTCCCATGCTGACATGTGGAAGGTCATTCCAGGCAGCGGGGCACCAGCAAATGGCGTGAAGAGGGGGTGTGACAGGGAGGTGGGTTCAGAGAGGAAGCCCATTGCCCCTTGCAGGATTTCTGCTCTGGGTGAGATGGATAGTCGTGGCATCGTTTTGAACAAAGGAATGATGCAATCTGACTTATGTGTTTAAGGACCAGGTGAGGTGGATCACTCCTATAATCCTAGCACTTTGGGAGGCTGAGGTGGGAGGATCGCTTGAGCCCAGGAGTTCAAGACCAGCCTGGGCAACATAGCAAGACCCTGTCTCTACAAAAAATACAAAAATTAGCTGGGCATGGTGGCGCATGCCTGTAGTCCTAGCTACTTGCGAGACTGATGCAGAAGGATCCCTTGAGCCCAGGAGTTGGAGGCTGCAGTGAGCTATGATGATGCCGCTGCACTCTAGGCAACAGAGCAAGACTCTGTCTCAAAAAAAAAAGGAGGGGGGAGTTATTCTGGCTACTATATGGGACAGCGGAGGAGTTGGAAGCAAGGAGAATAATCAGAAGGATATTGTAATGATCCACATGAGAAACAATCAAGGATTGGATGATGGAGGTGGTGAAGTGGTGGTCAGATTCTAGACCAATTTATAAGTTGTGTATGGGGTGCAAGATATAGCAAAGATAAAGGTTTGGTGTGAGCAACTGGATGGATGGAGTTGGCATTAACAGATGAGGAGGACCGGGAAGAGCAGGCTTGGAGGAGACAATCGGGGGTTTAGTTCTGGATGTGCTAGCAGACTAGGGAGAAAACAGCAAAGGAGCAGCCTGGGAGGCAGAGGAAAACCAGAGAAGTACAGTGTCCTGGAATCCAGGAGGAAAAAAAATGTTTCAAGGAGGGACTGAACAACTGTGTCAAATTTTGCTAAAAGCAAAGTAGAGGAAAGATTGAGAATTGTCCTGAGGGGGTCACGTGGGGAGAAAAAAAAAGATAATTGATTTCCTAACAATTCAAATCAATTAATTATAAACCCTGGAGCCCAGAGAGGTTAAGTGATTTGGCCAAGGGAATACAGGTAAAATCAGATATACAATTTTCTGGGGTCTACTGTAAAATGAAAAAATCATTAAGAATTATTAAGAATTTCAGGACAACTACAGTAGAAAATTAAACTCAGCACAGGGCCCTACTTTCACAAGTGCTTCACTGGATCCTTGCAGCAGGATCCTCATTTTATCCATTTATTATACTCATTTTCCAGATCAAGAAAGTGGTGCGCAATGTATTGAATGATATAACTAAGGCCACAGAGCTACACTGGTGGTTTGAGCCTAGAACCTGGGCCCTCAGCTTCCAAGACCCTCTTCCTACTACTACAACAAACTAGGTATCAAAGGAGAGAGTGCTTTCCTGCCTCCTGGCCAACTGGATTAGGCCTTGTCCATGCCTTTCAGAGGCCTGATTGAAGCAGGCAAACGTAGGAGGGAAGGAAACACACTGCTAAAGAACTTCTGCACTCAGGCCCTTTATGATGGGGGTGAAAAGGGAGCACAGGAAAGACAGCTCAGGCCATGCCCCAAAGTCCCCCAAAGCTAACATCATTTTAGGCTATCTTGATAGAATTATAGAGCCTCCCAAACCAGGGAAATGAGAGTCCTGCTCCACTTTGGTTTGTCGTACCACAGCGAGAGTGTGCTGTAAAGACCACGTGAATGGTATTTGAAAGCACGTACTGGAAAAGCAAGGGGTATAGGGCTTTGCCATTTGCTGGCTGGATAATCCGGGGTAAATCACTTAATTCTTTCTGATCCTCAGTTTCTTCCCTTGTAAAATAGAGAAAAGAAATACCTCATGGGAGTTCTATGAGCATAAAAGAGATCATGAGAGCTTTTTATAAAATGAAAAACACTGAGCAGATGTAAGTCCCATTCACTTGGGCAGTATTAACGGTGTTATCAGAGTATTCTAATGATGCACCTGGACACTTTGCTAAAATATATTTTAGTGGAAAAGTCAAGGAAGGGAAGACATTGTATGCTTACTTGTCTTAGCATTCCTTCCTTGCTAAAAGACTTTTTTTCAAAGCTTTTGGATACTTTTCAAAGAATGGATCATATTTTATTTTCCTAAGTGAGGAAGGAAAGTTTCTTGTTTGCCTCTCTCAGCCTGCTGATGCATGATAAATGAGTTCTGTCTGCCCAAACAGATGCCACTGTACACAGACAGATAATATGTCCTATAACTTTAGGAGGGCTGTAGCCTGACTTTCAATCTAGTTTGTTCTGAAGGCTCTCCTCTAGCCTCCTCTAACCAATGGTGCCTTCTCTTAAAATATAGATCAATAAGTATCTCTGCATAGACATTGGTGAGTGGTCATTTATCTGGGGAAGAACAATTCCACTCCCACCTTGCACCACTGCATATCTCTGTCCTTTCACTCCCAAACTTCTTGAACCAATAATGTATTCTCAATACCTCCTTTCCCCCCACACACACACTACTCCTTCCTTTGCATCTGCAGTCTAGTTTTTTCTTTCACATATTATTCTCTCATAAGTCATCAATGGTTCCTAATGACCAAACCCAGTGGTCCCTTCTCAGTTATTTCTTTGTGACCTCTCTGCAGTTCAGGACACTTCTATCCTTGAAACTCGCTTTGCTCTTGGCTTCTGTGATGGTGTGTTCTTCCCCCTTTTCTCCCACCTCCTCATCCTTGTTCTCAGGCTTCTCTTTCTCTCTCCTAGATCTGGAAAATACTTTCCAAGAGTCCCTGATCCTTTTGACTTTATACTCTAACCCTAAGACAGCTGCTCCAAGTGTATATTTTAGCTACTACCTCTATGCAGATATCTTCTAAATACATACGTCCAAGTTCTAAGATCACATTTTCATGTGTTTCTGGGTTATCATTCATTACCTGGATATCCCACTGCACCTCAAGCTTAGCATAACTAAAAGCAAATTTATCTTCCCCTAAAAATAGGCTCCCCGGTGCTTTATTTCTGTTAGGACAGTAGTACCATGCTCCTAGCCAAGTAGTTCTAAACCTTCAGAATTATCTTTCACTCTGCCTCTTCACTTTGTCTCTTGCACCCAGCTGGATGCAGCTTTGCCAGTTCATTCTTCCCAGTGTTTCCCACATGTTGATCCCATCCCCTTTTTTCCTTTTCCACACACCCATCCCAGAGGGGGCCTCAGCTTCTCATTGGAAGCATTGGAAAAGCTTCCTAAGTGACCAATCTGCTTCCATTACCCCTCAGGCTCCCTAGTCCATCCTGCACAAATGACCAGAACATTCCCGTACATCTGGCTCTGAACTAGTCACTACCCTATTTAGGATCCTGTAAAGTCTCAGTATTATATGCAGAATAAAGACTAAATTTCACAGTCTGGCTTTAAGGCCAATTTCGCAATGTTCTCTCCCATTACTTTGCTGAAACTATCCAATGTTCCAATTAAATAGTGCCACGTGCCCTCTTTGTGTTACCTTGAATCTTTTTAACACTCACAGTACCTTTCTTCATAACATCTGGTTGTTGAGTGCTCTGCTCTGTGTTTGCTCATCCAGATATTGGGTGCCAGCATCACAAAGCCTTTGATGATGATGATGATCATAGCAACATGATGAGACATTAACCACTCTGCAAACTCATAATGGGTAGCTGACACTTTATAAGCATTATCTCATTTAATTATTCTGATTAATATTATTCCCACTTTACTGATAAGGAAACTGTTGTTTAAAGTGGTTAGGTTATATCCCTAGGTCACATAAGCTCAAAAGTGGCAGAGTTGGGGCTTAAAACCAAGTCTGACTCTAAAGTTCAAAGATTTAACCATTCTGTTCTACTGCTTTTTCCTACCTAGATGTGGTATCTCCTTTCTGAGCTATACTCACACTTGATTTGAGCCTATTTTATGGTAAATATCACATAATATTTTTTATTTTATTGTTCATGTATACACATCTTTTCTGTCGTATTTATTCCACAAACATTTATGGGGCATTTATTTCATGCCAAACCCTTTGCTAAGAATTGGAGACAGAGTAACCAAACAGGACTCCTTTCCTTCAAGGAATTCACAGTCTAATTGAGGGTGACAGACAACAGCTAAATCTGCACTTAGAATATAATACAGTATGATAATGTTACCATGAATATTTCTAAATGTTCTGAGAGTAGAGATGGAATGTTTAATGCTGCTACCATGGGATTGGAAAGATGAGGATATTGCATTGTTCATCCTATGGCTATAATTCTCTTTATTCATAACTGCCTCAGAATGACCCTGGCATCAGTCAATAAGTAGAGTTGGGAAAATGAAGAAGTTCCACAGGTATATAATAGTTTTACATACTTTTTTCACTTTATAATAGTGTTTTTTCACTTTTATTTCACAGAAATAATAATAATAGCCAATACTTATTATTTACTTGTTTACCATATCCCAGGTGCTGTTCTAAGCACTTTACATACAATAATTCATTGAGTCTTTACAACATCCTTTAAGGTAATTATCACTGCCATCCCTATTTTATAGAGGAAGCAACTGAAGCACAGGCATCGAACCTGTGCCCTAAGTCACACCCCCTAGTAAGTAGCAAGGCTGGGTGGTTTGGATCTAGCAGCCATGTGCTTAACCACCTTCCTCTCAACTCTACTTCTTTAGTATTTAGGAAAATAAGGTAGCAATACATTTTCTTTTGTAATTCCTTCCCTCTCCTTTCTTCCCTTTCTCCCTTTCCTTCGTGCTCTCCCTTGTTCTGCCGTCGTCTGTTGACTACCTACTCTGTGCCCAGAACTATGCGGGGGATACAAAGGCAACTCAAGACATATGTAGAAAAGTATGGGAACACAGAGGAGAGACATCTGAGCAAGATGGAGGGATGCAGTCAAAGATGCCTTCCTGAAAGAGATGTTCTTGAGCTTAGTTTTGAAGGGTGAATAGGAATTAACTACTAGGACACGGCAAAGCTCAGGGGAAAAAACACAGGGCTCTGGGGTCAGATCTAAGTTAACTCATATCAAGCCCTGTTTGACCTTGGGTAAGTTTCCTAACATCTTCCAGCCCCAACTCTATCATACATAGAATGGGCATTATAATACCTACCCTTTAAGGCTGTTGTGAGAATTAAGAATGATGACTTACGGAGAGCATCCATCACAGTGCCTGCCACAAAGCGGACCTTAATGCGCTGGCTGTTACCATGATTGCTCATAATCTCAATAGTCGAAAGCAAAACAGAACCACCAAATAATAAAGCTAAGCAGGCATCAGAGTTATTTTACAGATAAGGAAATGGAGACTCAGAGAGAAGCCAGTGTCACACAGGCTTGGTGACAGTTGGAACTGGAATCCAGATTCTCTGGCAGTTCTACTGTTTTCCCTTCCCTGTGTGGCATTCCAAACTCATTTGTCTTTAAGTCGGTCCACCTCATCTCCTGGGTTAATGAAGTAGTTCCCAAACTTTCCAATTGTTTACACTTCATCTTTGTGATTTTTGCTCCATCTTTGTGATTTTTGTCATGTTCTTATATTAACATTCTCCTGTGCTATTATTTACTTAATATTTTTCTTCAAATAAACTCATTTGTACTAAAGTAGTTAAAATGAAAAATTTATATCACCATTATAAATGGAAAACCAACAATATCACCTGTTTATGTGATAACAATATCACAGGTTTATGGTATAATAAGTTATATTTCTTATTAGACACATTAAAATAAATAATGTTTATCTAAAATTATCAGCACTGTCCCAAATGGTATGCATACCACATCTTAGGAAATGCTGGCCTATGTAATTCCTTTCCTTTCACAGAACTTCTAGATCATGTCCAAATGTATACTAAAACCCAACTGCCCTTTGCAGTGGCTGGTTTATATTCAGAAGGGACAGAGCATAAGACCCAACTTACTCCCTGGCCGGTCACTGACCTACTGTTATTCATATCAGCTACTTACCACAAGGTCTGTAGTTGAATACTAGCCTCTCCTATTTTAGCTAATTCTTCACCTCTTGGAGTTGTAGCTTTCCTGGCAGTACTAGATGTAGCCTCATTTGTTTGGAAACTTCAACACCCTGTTTCCAGTAGATTCTATTCCCTGACTTGGAGTTTAGAGTGTAGATCAGTCCCTGCCCAAAAGGGACCACTGCTGGCATTGCGGCCTTCCAAATGGTTCAGCTCCTGGTGTCTGCCAGAGGACTTGGTACGTGGTATACATTCAGCCAATAGTTGTTGCCTCAACCAATTGCAGTACAGGTGCCTCTGGCTAGAACTACTGCCATCTGATGGACATAAATGGCAATTGCACCATTCTGACCTATCAATTAGGTCACGAGCGCTGGCTCCAGCGCTTCCCCCTGGAGGCGGCCAGCCTTGCTCCCTCATTCCCTACACCATCTGTTGCCCCTCCCGCCAAGTCCTCCTCTGGGTGAGCTAGCTCTGGGGATGTTTGCATACCAAACACTTAGCTAATTGATATTCTGTCACAAGCTGCTCAACAAATGTTAGGCTTTTTTGTATTTTGTTATTATTTAGTGACACTTTGGTTATATTTTTAGCCAGGTTGAGGAGAGAAAAGAAGGAGTTACTTTAGCAGGCAGGAAATGTATTGCCAGGTCTTTCTTGCCTGGCATTCTCCTAAGCATCTGTGAGTTTCTCTGACAGAGTTGAGGATCTGATCTGATCTGATTTTATCAGCATATATCCTGAGCAAATTCAATGTGAGGATGAAGACCTCCTCTGTGCTTCTTTATGTTCTATATCGTCACCCTTTATGGATGGTGCACTCATCTCATTCTAAAGCAGCCAGCATCACTCAGCTCAGCCTTGGTGGCCACCTGTGTGGGAGTCACACAGCAAGGTCTGCTGCTCTGCTGGAAGGAGAGAAGGTGGCAGGCATGGCCCAGAACTTTGTAATGAGGGTCCCTCCATCAGCAAGAAGCACATCTTATTCTTGTTTAAATGTCACAATGTTCTTGGTAATCAAGAGAGAAATGAAAACAAACCCAGACAGAATAGTCATCCTCAAAGGCTGCTAGCAACACCGAGAATTACCCATAATTATTCTATCTGAAGGGCCTTGGACTTCTTAATGAAAATGAAATCATTTTAATGATATCCTACTTTTTAACTTCTCAGGGAACACTAACTAATAGGAGCAATTATTGCCCCAAAAAGTGTGTGGTGTAGTGGACAGAGTCTGGTCAGGAGATAGTGGGGTATCTGTTTCCACTGAGCGGCTATTAACTTCTGTTTGTACCCAGTTCACATGGATGTACAGTACTTTGTTCTCATGCAGGGATGCTGAGGACAATCCTGTCTGATAGATCTTGTCCATCCAAACAAGGCAAACTGTGCTTTCTAGAAAATCATGCACCTACACCGACCTATCAAAAACTCCCTTCATATCCCACTACCAAATATGACAATCAAATGCATTTACTTATGTCTCTGAGAAGAAAGGAATAGAGTGAACCTTCATGAATCCAGTCAATATAATTCCCCTTTAATGGGAATTAAATTATGGTCTCAATAATGCCTGATGACAGTTCTGCTTTCTAGTCTTATATAGTAATTACTCCTCTAGCTTTAAATCCTGGTTATCTCTGATAGAGGAAATGAATGATTGGTCAAGTAATAGGACTGCCATGTTCTAGAGGATAGAATGAATAGAAAGAATAGATGTATGAGTAGATGATAGAGTGAATAAATAACAGGCTTGAGACTCTTTAGTAAGCCAGACAGGGATGCTGGGCTGGACTGGAGAGATATTTGTTTTGGAAATTACTTGAAAGCTGATAATTTCTGGAGTTACATGAACCTGGGAAACAGTGAACACTAAATTTCATAGAATTTCATAGCTGGAAGAAATATTTAATGTCATCTAGTTGAATTTACCAAGAGATGCCTAAAAATCCTCTACAGACTCAAGTTACTGGAAATTGTTCCTGATTGTAAGCGTTTTATTAACAAGAAACCCCAGCAAAGATTTTAAAAATAACCCCCATTTGTTATATTTCTGATTGTTACTTCATGATGCTGGGAAAGTGACTTTGCTTTTATGGGCCTTTGCTTACAATGTGTGTGACCTTGGGCAAGTCACTTTACCTCTCTGGATATTAGTTTCCTTATCTACAAACAACCTCAGCCCTGCCTTGCCTGCCTCTCGGGGTAGATAATGGGCTGAAGAAGATGCTATTAGTAGAAATGTCTTGCTAACCACTAAGGTATGGTGCACAGTTTAAAATACTATACATATCCTGCAGATGGGTCCCAAAATAAAAAAATAAATAAATAAAAATAAATAAAAATAAAATACTATATACAGGTACTGTTATTAGCTCTTGCATTCCATAGCCAGGGACATACCACTTGCTATGTAAGAGTAGTAGTTTCATCCTCTCCATTCTACTACCAGGTTTCTCCCCTTGCCCATAATTCTCCCCCATAGAGTTGGCCACAGATGGGTCCCTGTAAGAGCATTCTTCAAGGGGTCCTGTGTGTTTTCATGAAAAACAAGGAATGGGCTTGTGCAGCCACACCGTCTGCCAGGGTAACAGCCAGCAGACAGTGAGGCTTTCAATGGGAACAGCTGCAGGCCTCTCACTTTTCCCCACATTCTCGACCACCAGGCCACTTGTCCCTAGGCCTCTATCAGTGTCGGTGAACCCCACGGAGCACGGCAACAATGAGCCGCACAGAGGATTCTCAGACTCTTCGTTCTAAGTCACAGTAGAACCTCATAATGGCACAGATTGTTGTGCATTCTACTGGGCATTTAGTAAGTGTTTATTATGAGTCAGGTCCTGTGCCAGCCACTGGGGGGTCAGAGATGAGTCAGATGTGCTGCCTGCCCTTGAGACCTCACAGTTTAGTGGGAGAAACAGACTCATGAGTGTCATACTCAGGATAGGATATGACCAAAGCCTGCAGTGTCTGGGCACAGCTGACGGATCACTTAAATCTCTCTGAGGGATCAGGCTCAGGGGACGCTTCTCAAAAGAGATAAGGTCTAAACTGGATCTTAAGGGATGTAGAAATTCACCAGGCAATAAAGGGAGGGGACGCACTGCAGATTGAAGGAGCTGCAAGGACAATGGCACAGAGATGTGAAAGGCATCTTGTTCTGGGCACAGTAGTCATTGAGCCTGGAGTGTATGTTACACATCAGGAAGTGAAAAGACCTGAAACAGGAGAGGTAGTGGGGTCCAAGGAGCCTGGCCTGTATGATGTCATAGAGACCACTGAAGGGTTTTAGGGAGGAGCGTGTCATGGGCAGATAAGGATCTTACAGCACTTGGGTGGCAGTATGGGGGATGGGTGGAAAAGGAGAGAGATGAAAAATGATCTGAGGGTATTGAAGGAAGGGACAGATCCTAGAGAGATGTAGAAGGTAGAATTGATAGATCTTATTAAAAATTCTAAGAGCTTCTGGAACAGGAAATTAAAATAGAAAGAAGGCATACTGAAAATTTAGTGAGGGCCCACAGGTAAGATGACAAGATATCTTGCATCCAGCAAATCAGACTTTGACTTTACCTTCTTGACTGACTGGCCAAGATGGCCTGTGTAATGTTTGTGGACGATAGGTCAAAACTAGTTGCTTTGTCAAGGAAGAAGCCTTCCCGAGGCAGAAGAAGATTAAGGATTGACACATAGCTGTGCTAGGATCTCTGTATTAAGTCCTGTCTAGATCCACGTGTTACCATAAGGACTGCATCACTCAGAATGATCTGCTGCCTATAGGATACAACCACACACCAAGCATAAGGACAGATTCCCGGAAGACTTGGTATTTGAGCTGGGTCTTGAAGGAAAGCAAAGGAAAAATAACCACCATAAAATGATATCCTACCTGGTTGGTCCTTTCCTAGAAGTATACCCAGAAGGCTCTAGAACAGCACTGTGCAACAGAACTTTCTGTAACAATAGAAATGGCCTTCTGTATTGTCCAATTCAGTAGCCACTAGACACATATGGCTATTGAAGCACTTGAAATATGGCTAATGTGACTGAAGGACTGAATTTTTTAAATTTTATTTTACTTTCCTTTAAAGGTAAATAGCCACATGTAGCGAGTGGGTGCCATGTTGGACAGCACAGCCCAGAGTCCACAGAGCATCTCCAGATCCTGCTTCACAGGATCCTTCCTGCTTTGCTCCCCTGGCGACCCTCGCCTGTCTTGTCTCTCCTGGCGTAGTCCCTCTAGTCTGACATACTAACTGGCTACCTTCCAGCTTCCAACAGTGGCTCTGTTTCCTGGTTATCGATTTCCTCCCTGTCACCACAGCAGAGGCTGGTGTCGGGGTGTGACACAGCCTTCTACCTCCCTCGCTGTGCTAGAGTGTGGCCTAGACACAGTGGCTTCACAGAAGCCTCTCCTGTCGCTTCTGGCCCTCCACTAGGCCTTATTCACCCCTTCCCTTTCTTTCCTGGCTACTTCAGCCAGCCAGTTAGTAACCTGGAATATTCTTTGATGTTTTCTCTCCCTGAGAAGTTGAGTCAGAGGATGGAACAGTTGGAATGGAGATGTGTGTGGTTTCGGGTGGGGTGTGTATGTGTGTAACTGGTCACACAAATGCTTTGATTTGAGGTTTCTGGTAGTAGGTGAAGGACTCCATCCTCTGGGGGCTTTTCTATCAGGCATTTTTAATTTTTATTTGTATACAAACAGCAATAATTGATAGATTAATTAGATTTGTGGATGGAAAAGATGGCTTAAGTTCCAAGAAACAAGAAGTTTCTTGACAAGCCAAAGCACTGGGCCAGATTTAACATGATTATGTGTAATGATGACAGTTCCAATCCTGTATTTGGGTCTAAATGGCTAACTGCCTTGGTAGCAATATGTGATTTAGAACAGTGGTCCCTAACCTTTTTGGCACCAGGGACTGGTTTCATGAAAGACAATTTTTCCACAGGCCAGGGATATGCGGAGTGGAGTGTCATGGGTCAGGGGACAATGGCATGGAGCTCAGGCAGTGAGGCACAGCCTGTTTCCTAATAGGCCACGGACCAGTACCGGGCCATGGCTGGGGGGAGGGGGGTTGGGGACCGCAGATTTAGAAGACTTGGTGGTTTTAGCTGACTGTGAATTAGTGGTGGATAACAAGAAAATTAAAATACTCTTGGAATGTGCCAATAGAATAGCATAATAGCATCCAACAAGAGAGTAATAAGACCTGCTCACGCCCCCTCCCCACTGATTAGACCACACCTAAATCATTGTTACAGGTTCTGAGAGCCTCTCTT